CATATTCCAAACCTGTAATTCCGACTGATATGATGCCTAATCCAAGTATCTGCAATTTGAAAATAATATGATATCCGGTATAGTAAGTGAGATGCTTATTTGATCAAATTCTTGAAAATAATATCATGGCTCTGTACTATCGCAAAACAGTCAAGAGTATAATCGCGAAAAGAGCTGATTCAAACAAACTACATAATTGATCGCGTTTAAATCTTAGGGTCGGATTAAGCACACAGACCGGTATATGTGAAATTGTAGTGGATTTCTATGTAAATTACAACTTTGAGAATGAGAGAGAGAGAGAGTAAATTTTGGTCAAAGGCATAGAAAGGCTCATTACGTTGGGCAAAATAGTATTGCTCAGTAGTAAATGTAGGAATTAGATGATGACTATCGCAAATATTCTTGTGATTGTTTGGGACCAAAACAAAATTGAGCACGCCTTAGCTAATATATTTCATACAGAATTCAAAATTATTTTTATGAAGAGATTTTTCGAACATTAATGAATTATAACAACAATAATTAATTTTATATTATTTTAATTAAATTTTTGTTGGACTATACAACTGTCTCGAGTATTGCCAAATATCCAACAGTACTGGTCTTGGAAATAATTTGTGTATTTAATTATTCGTAAACAATGTTTTGAGACTGCAAGTACCAGGAATCGAACTAGTGTTCTGCCAAAATTGAAGTTTAGAGTCAGCGCTTCTTAACCAACTGGTTCTAAGCCGTACTTGGCTTTTATGTTCACACATTTTTCTGGAGTTTTTTTAATTTTCTGTAAAAGTTTTATTAACAAATTCACTTGCTGTGTTTATATTAGACCGAAATAATAAACTAGCTGTAGAATAATTGAATTATTTAATTAAATTAATCTATTATTAAATTAATTTTTTATTTTTAATTGTTAAATTTCAATACTATTCTGTTTGTAGAGTCGTTCTTTACTGCATGATTTATATATTCTTTCTTATGTATAGAAGCTAATCTGGGCACGTAATACTGAGAAAGTCATACTGATGTTACTCCACGAGTCGCACGGGCGAGTCCAATATTTTGTGAATATAAGTTGTAATTTACTGTCACATTTTTCAGACGGAAATAACTACAACAGCAAAAATTCATTTTATATTATTTTAATTAATTGAATTTTAAATTTAAAAAAAAATGATTGCTTAATTTAAATGACTTTTGGAAAATTTCTTTGTTTTACACTTTGATTTTTCCATATTAAAAAATTTATTTTAATCATTTATACGATTAATTATAAAAAACCGATATCTCGCATACCAAACACAGAATATTGAACATAAATGATAAACACTTTATAGTTGATAGCCAAGCACCCATTCTGCACGAAAACTCAAATTTCTTTTGATCACTAAATAATAATAAATAATATTAGAAATATATTTTCATTAACAAATTTGCACGCTTTCTTTCTCATTCAACATTCAACTTGAAAATGTGATTATTTACACAATAAATTTGCGACTAAAGAAAGATTTTTTCTCGATGATACCAAAGCAGGTGTCAATAACCTCGAGTTAAGATAACTATGTTAAATTAAGAAATCCTAATCTCCGTCGCATATTTATAGCCTTTGACCTACCATAATAATAATTAATTAATTAAACATTTATTATGGTTTAAAATTTGATAAAATTTATATAATTGCACTAATAATAGACATTAATTTCTTATAACAATAGTAAGTTATAGTTAAAAACATTTATATATATTACACATACATAAATATAAATACATATTCATATATATAAATAAATACATTTATATATATAATTACAGGAGCTCTAATATCATCATTTTACAATGTTTGAATAGTAAAGATTATAAATAGTAAAGTATAAAAATTACAAAAAAAGAAAAAAAAATTTGGGTAAATAAATAGATTTTTAGTATGACAGATAGTTAAAATGTCTAAAAGGAAAATGAGTTATAAATAAGAAGCATATGATTTGGAATCAAACTGAAAATATCACAAGTAGATGTCGATGGTGTAGTTGTGGAGTTATGCTGTGAAATGTTACTAAAATACATATATATTGGTTTTAAATCGCAATCATAAGTTCGATTTGAGCACAATTCCTTCAGTATATGAAATACCCACACTCTTCAATCATAGACAAGTTTCTCACTTTAAACTTGATTGAAAGATTTTACATTCTCCATGGCAAAGGTATGAATCCCCATTTCTGTGTGATGTCTTTGATGTTGCACTCAACGGCAACCACGATTTTTTCAGTTGTATGTGAGCGCACGGATTTGGCTGACTTGAGTGTAAGACAAAATTTAGTTTGACTGTGTGTCAATTGTTGTGTCTAAAAAAAATTAAACGATTAAAAATGAATTAGTTATTTAATTTTACAGCTTATGTTTCACTTACATCCATGTCATAGATCCAATGTTGCTTCGGTTCATCGAAACATTGTGTCAACTGCACATTGGAAGTGGTTGCATTGCGGCTTTTAAGTAATTTTATAATGCCATGCTTTTGTTCGCTGTATGTCAGACATACATTATCATTAGTCATAATTTGCCCTTTGGGCGTTACAACAAACATATCCATTGAACTTGGATGTGCTGTGCAATCACCGACAGTTACAGGCTGCATGGAAGTGCGTGGTGCATCACGTTTTGTAGCGCGTAAACATTTATCTCTTTCCAAATCCAGCAGTGACACTAGCTGATCACTATTTTTATGAATTTCGTTGAAAATACGTGGCCATTCACGTGAAATTAGTCTACCCGGCAAATTTTTCATATTAGCAGTATATGCCTGTGCACTCTCCGTTTCACCGTCTAGCCATATTATTTTGCCGAAAAATCGATCTGGTGCTGGAAAGAAATGCTCGGGCCAAATATGTTCCAAATACCATGAAAATGGTTTGCAGTTCAGTTTTTCACGTAATGCTAAACGTTCGCTAACATCGATTTCATTGGGTGTGGACAACGTGAGGCCGGAAGTATACAAAAACACAAAATATTGCCAATCATCCATCCATACCATAGCTGCACGTGCGATATTTTTAGTTAAGACTTCAGTCATGCCACCAGGGAATGTGTACGGCGTGCTACTGCGAAATACATGTCCTACATGTGAGCAGGGGCTTATCTCCACCGTACCGCCACATTGCCAAATGCGAAATGACATCTCAACATTTTCGCCACCCCATATCTGTAAGCATAATTTAACTGTTGATGTATTGATTTTACAATAAATCTCACAATAAGACTAACCTTCATATCACGATCATAAGCACCAATATCGAAAAAGTATTTCTTATCTATGGCAAATAAACCGCCAGCCATAGCTGGTGTAGCTATATTTGTGGTGGGATCTTCACGCTTCACACCTCTTCTTTCCGCGCCAAACCAACGAAAACTCATTTGCCAATTGAATGCACCCCAATGGTTTTCAAAAGTTTTCGTATAACTAAAATTATCATCGGATATAATGTCAATAACTGGACATACGACACTGCTGCGTGATTCTTTAATGCGTGTCAACATTGGTTCCAACCAACCGCGTGAACATTCGCAGTGTGCATCCAAAAATGTAAGTACTTCTCCTCTAGCATGTTCAGCACCTAAGAGACGTGCTGGTACCAAACCACCACGTGTTGGAGTACGCAGCAAACGCGTACGCACCGCTAGAACTTTAATATAGTTCTCCAGTGGCTTCTTCAGATAAGCTGAAATCAATACAATTTTTTCAATTGGTCGTTATGGTTATATGGCTATATACGTACTTCTGTCACTGGCATCATCGATGAGTATAATTTCCTTGAGCAATTTTTTCGGTGTACGGTTAATGACGCTGGTTATAGTCCGTAGCAGCACTGACCAAGCTTCATTGTGGAACACAATAATTACAGATGTGGTGGGTAGAGCGGTGGAGTATTTTTTTTCACGGCATCTATGGTATTTTTAAAAAGTATAATTATAATATAATTGATTTAAAATAATATAAGAATGTGAGTATTATAGAGTCCAAAAATACAGGTTTTATGTTTGTAGAAGGAAAATTGGAAAAAATAGATCTAACCTACTGCTATTATTCGTTAATTTTTTTTGGTTTAAAAGGTTTAAAATAGTTTTGAATTTAAAAAATATTTATTTCTCAATGACCATTCGAAGAAGACTTACTGAAAGAATTTGTAATATAAATGGTAGGTACATTTCAAAAACTTTCCTCACAAAAAATAGGAATCCGGGATACTTTAACAGTTTGGTTAAAGTATTCCGTTGGATTAAAGAAAGAATGTAACAAAATAAACTGAAATAGCGTAGAGTCTAACTAGTTGTTTTGACAGTTAATATAAAAAAGTACAAAACAGTACAGTGGAGGAAAATGATGGAGATTGGGGTTTAGGTAGGGTGAGGAAGGATAGAGCTTTTGATAAAAAGGAATGCGAATAAGCATGAGGTAGAAAAAATAGGTGAGGACCGTTGAACCTAGACGGATACAGGCGAAGGAATTGTGCTGCTCCAATACCTTGAAACCATAATAAGGTTCAAGTTTGTCTATGCATTGGAATATAATAACAGTTGGACAAATTCATAAGGAGTGATCTGCAGTTGGTTCCACTTTGAAAAAGAATATGTTTATGTGCGAGAAGTAATTGGTTAGCATATAGCCATTTTTTTATCTCTATTCGGAAGAAGGACCGTCGCTTAGACTCGTACTAAAAATTAGTACTTATTCTTAACGTTGATTAACCTGCAACCACTTACTTTCAGACTTGTTTGGATAGGCATAACTGTTGTTGGTTTTTAAATAAAGCGATTTAGGTTAGCATTCCAGTGCTTTGGTCTAATTTTATTGAACACATTAGTAATTAGCGGCTATTAATATTCTCAACTATTGTAACCAGCGAAAAGAGCTTCATTGTGTGTTGGGCGATGAATGCCCAACGCATATTAATTAGCATTAGCAATATTTTTTTTTTTTTTGCAACATGTTTGGTATTATTCGCTAACAAGTTTGTTGTTATAACGTGTGAAAAAGCAGAAGACTTAAGGTATGAGAGAGTTGGTGGGTACTTAAATAAAACCACCCTTTGCCGAGAGTTCTCGTCAGGGTTACTTTCTAAAAGCATCTGTCTAAATAAGCGTTTCACTGTGTGTGAAGTACATCGCAATTACAAGTAAATTGATATTATTAGCTTTGAAAGACCGCTGTTAAGAAACTCTCTCTGTTTAACAACTATACGAACTAATATATGTATCTGTATATATGTACACAGCCGTCCACGAGAAAAAAAAATTGCTTATGGGAAAGATGACGGATACAGTTAATTTTTCATTGTTCATAAAGATATAAATATTTGATTGATTTTGATTTATTTATATTTTTAAACGTTCTTTGTGTCTGTTAAGTAAGGAGCAGGCATTGGAAGCTGTTAAAGCTTTAAGTATGACATGCTAGAAAAGATGTTAAGAATCGTTGGTTTATTAAGATCACCAAGTGCAACTCATCATTACCAACTGAGATTATAGTAGCTATTTTCTTCGTTTTTGTGGTCATAAATAATGAGAATTTTTTATTTTGAAACAGTATTCAATTTTATTTGAGTTACCGCAAAAACTCGGTAGCAAATTTTGTCTGGATTGGCATATATACAAATAAATATAGTAATATTTAGGTCCGTAGCTAGAAATTTACTTCTCGGTGAACTTTCAGTTAATTTTCGGTATTAATAATGAATATATATATATATGTATAAATGGTCTTTGATTCATTGAGGGGCTGGAACGCTTTTTAGGTACGTGCCTGCCTGTAAACATCACTTATTAATAGTCATAATGTGTTAATAATCAATATACATTAGTATAAATATTGTCCTGCGATACATTGAGGGCTTGGAACCCTCTTTGGGTGCGTACTAATATACATCACTTTCCTATATAATAAATATAGGTTAAGACACTTTTATCTTATCTTATTATTAACAGTCATTCATATACGTTAATAATGAATACATATTAGTATAAATTTGGTCGTTTGACTCATTAAGGGGCTGGAACACTCTTTGGGCGCATGCCTGTGTACAGCACTTTCCTATATAATAAATATATATCAAGATTTTTATCTAAACCTATTATAAACAGTTATAATGCATTACTAATGAATACGTGCATTAGTATACATTTTATTTGTGGATTCATTGAGGGAAGAATTTCTTCCTGTTTCTGTATACATCGTTTTCCTACACGATAAATATTTCGGTGTTTTTTCTTTTTAAATATATATATAATATACGTATTATTTATTTTATTTTAATATTAATATTGTTTCCATTAAATTTTCAATACTTAAATTATATATTAAATAGTAGTGTATATGTACACATATATAATATATAACAATATTATATTGTGTATTGAGTGGCATATGGAGTAATTGCACACGAACACTTCAAGTTCAAGTTCAAGTTAATTTTAGTTATTGATTAGTGACGTATATCACCTGGTTTTCCTGGGCAGATTCTTTTGGGTATACATAAAATCACTGTTCGTTTTTTTTTATGGTTTTTTTTTACGATTTTAAAATTCAACTTCAAACACTTTGAAGCGTTTTTATTCACCTTCACATAATTTTTACTTTGTATTGTTGTATTGTTATTAGATTTAGAATGTTTCCAAGCCCTTAAAATGCATATATTAAATTTTTAATCACGATTTCTAATTTTATTTAATTTAATTTACGGTTTCCTCTTGACACGGAAATATTTGATTATAATTTTATTTAGTAGCTTGAATTAAGTAAATTCAAAACTACTCAAGCAGAAGTGTAATTATTTTACTTACAAAATAAAAAAATAATAATATAAATTGCAGTTTAGAATTAATTATCCACATAGTTCTAAGACTTATTGGTTAATCCAAGCCAACTTTTAATCACTCCACTCATCTAACAATTTAATCCATAGTTTAATCTCAGTTTTAATTACAAAGAAGATACCGCGCGGCAATGGCAATCTTCGAAATTTAACTAAAGCGCATATTAGGTAGGTAACTACTACTATTTAATAATTAAACCAAACAAAAAAAAAAAAGAAAAAAATATAAAAAAATATATAAACAAGAAAAAGCAAAAACAATGCAATTAATTGTGTTGTGAAGTATCGGTTTGAAGTGTTAGTCGAGGAGTTGAATTGTTGAATTTGTTAAATAATAAAAATTAATTGTTAAGCATAAAATGTCATTAAAATCATAATAAAAGCTTTGTACTCTTAATGGTTAATTAATTTTTAGGCGACGCTCAAGGCTATCGGAAACAGTTACTCACTCTTTGATTCTGTAATCTCGTAGAGTGCGGTTAAGTGGTATACGGTCGCTGGCCAAGAGATTGAAGCTGTTCAGCCTAAAGAAGCGCTGCATGCGAAAGCCATCGCGAGGCGGTATGAAAACTGGTCGTCCCTCAGCACCTTCGCCTTGTATGGGGTTAAAACTGTTTATATTGTATTCATCTGCAAAACGAATTGCCACAATATTTTAAAAGATAACAACAATAACAAGCAAAAAAATTAACAAAAATAATAAATAGAAAAAATTATTTTTTTTTTTTGCATTTGCACTTAAATTGATTGTATTACCTGCTGTCATATTTCCAAATATATCACCTTTTCCAATATAATGGGCGATGACATTTTTTCTGGTGAAGACTGAGCGACGTCTTGGTGCAGGTTTCGGTTGGCTAATAATACATAAAATTAAAAGAAATTCTAATAAGAAAATAACATATTTAAGTGGAATATTGAAACGCATTATGTTCAAGTGGATGCGGTCAACTGTGATGGACAGTCGTAACACCCCTCAAGACAAAACAGACAAATAAAAACTCTTAACGTCAGAGGTAACAACTGCAACGAACGATGGTAACAGCGCTATTAATCGCTGTTGCAATAATAAATATTAGAAATGCATAACGAACGAAACCGCCTACGCTCTCAGCTGCTTGGTTGCAACATAAAAAGCAACAAAAGCAACAAAAACAACAATACTACCACCACCACTACCAACAACAATACCAACAACAACATAATGCCAATAACCAAATTTTCTATATAAACTTACTTGTGCTCTTGGTCATAGTTTTGTATGCTGGAGACGTATAAGTTGATGCTGAGTGCGAACATAAAGAACGCAAAAAACAACAAAAACAAATAGAGTAGCCATAGTTTCTTTAATTGTTGAAATGGTAAACCCATTTTTGTTGTTGGTCTTCAGCAGTAAAATATGTAAATGCAAGAATTTTAGCTGACGTCTTTGGACGGACAGTTTGGCGTGTAATATAAATATTTGTTCAAATGGCTAGAAATTATTGTATAGAAATTTGCAAAATACACTTTGCAATTTGTTTACTTCATTGTAATTGTTATTTTTTTTCGTTTTTGTTATTGTTACTGTTACTGTTACTGTTAAATAGACATTAATTATACCGCACAAAACAAAAATTGCAAAACACACCTGCGCGAACATAAACAATACTAAACAGTTGGTGAAGACTACACGTATTGACATTTGCCATAAAATTACTAGGGCAACGCTCTCTTTGTAAATAAACCAGCTGGGTTGCCGTGTGCTATAAACGTACTAAACTGTAATAATTCTGAGTGGCTTGTGTAATTTCAATACTTCTGCTACACATGATATACACGAAAATCATTTTTATGCATACATATAAGCAAATTATAAGAGTTAAATAGTGTAATACACATAAATGTAATTACTTTCATATAAAGTTTAAATTAATTGATATAAAGCGAAAATGAAATAAAAATATTATTAATTATGCGTAGACAAAGTAGCAATAAAGTATTGTCTATAAGTTATATTATACTTTTAGGGTTAGGTTATTCATTATAAAAATGTTTTTTTCACGCTAATTTCAGGCTAAAATTTTTTTATTTTATAAAAATTAAACTGGTGATGACCACAGACCAATGATTTCTTTTTCTAAATTTTTATTTTTTAACAACAATAAAAAATGGTGTCAACCAATTAGCCTGAAAAAATACTTTTATTGAAATCGTTTGGTCACAAAATAATTAATATTTAAATTATTTTTTATGACATATACGGAAGTCATTTTTTTTATTTAACAATATGTCTTTATTGAATCGTTTTAAATTAAAGTCTAACAATAAGTTTTAGAATCTTAAAGACTAATAACATTATATTACAAATTATTTTATATAAACATATTATAATGATATATATTTGTAAATTATTTCAAGAGGACTCTGAATAAATAGTCAAGCCTTATTTACCAGATATCACGGCGTATAAGTTGAATTAATTAGGGTGTTCTTTAGGTTAGCAGAATGGCGGATCTATCATTCCGCTTCAGTCTAGAGGAATTTGTCATATAAAATAAATATTTCACTAAGTGCGTTCATATAACCGTATACGTAAACGCATAAAATTATACAATTGATAAATTTATATGCTTAGATTAGTACTCTTAATATAAGAAAAAGTAGCATAGTTATAATATTATCAATGTGTTCCGAGTTAATTAAGACCTAGTATTGTCATGATAGAGCACATTTTATTTTCACTTGTCATCTGTTGGCAAGTTCTGGTCGCTTTTATTTGTTTTTTTTTCTTTTAAGTTGGTTGATTTGTGAGTAGTAGAGACCCGAATTATTCGTTACAGTAAACAGAATCAGCTCGTAATAGACAATTTTCTTCCAATCTCACTAAACACTCAACATAGCCTTGCTTGCCGCCAATCTAGGCATTGAAGTCGTTTGTGTAGGGTCAACGGATTTTGACCACGACTGTTTGCATTGAACATACTTACATTTAATCCATTTTTCATCGTCCATAAATGATTCCAAACTGTAATGTGATTGATGTTTTGTGATTTCTTTAGCTTCTGACAGCTTCCAAAAATATCATCGACATTTTTACTGGGTGGTATTTTGGAGTAAGATGCATTTTGGAGTGTTTAAGCACTTGTAAGTAATTTCCCGTATAGTTGACTATCTGAAAATAACTTATATACCAAATGAACCAAATTGTTTTATATGACATTATCTTAATTGAAATAAAAAAATTTTTTGTAATTGTTAAAAGCTATCACTCCGTCAACAACCATATCTATTTGTTAAAAATTTTATTTCCTCAAAGCATTTTTAATGTTTTTGCTATTTATAATAAACACTTTACTTTTTGATCTGTTATCAGATCAAGTTCATTAATATTTGTATATTTAACTTAGCAAACATGTTTTGTACATTTTGTTATATATATGCTTCCAAATATATGTCCATATATCTCTAAAACTGTCTAGTATCCTTAAAATTAGCGGTAAAGTTGCCTTCTTTTATTGTTTTTGAAGCTGATTGCCAACATGCCAGAGAAGATAATTGTTATACCCTACAAAGAAAATTGTTCATTATTACTATATATACATACACATTATTTTAAAATATTTTACCACCAAACCCACTAAAATCCAGTCACTAATAGTTTCTATTTCCGAACTATTTGCATAGGCTTCGCTAACAACTTGTATGCATCCAGTAGAATAGAGTAAAGTTGGAGCGGTTGAGTTTCCTCCAATATAACAGGCGGGAGGTAGTGGTAAGCCACTTTGTATATAATCATTGGGACCATTTTTGCCACAACAATTGTACTAATAAATAAAATGAATAAATATATATTAAACGTATAAAGATTTTTTCTTTTAAATTGTAGTTATAGAAGTTTTATAAACCAAGTAATTATAAAGAAAGTGGAAGCATTTTTACATCAATAAATTTTTAAATATATGTTAATTTCAGAATTTTTTCCTATTCTTGATAATAAAGAAAACCTCACCGTAATTTTAAATCATGATATAGAGGATTTCAGATTCAATTATAGCGCAAAGTTAAGAATCCAGTCCACACATATATATTTAGAAAGTGTTTATTGATATTTTGAACTTGCAGACTCTGGATTCATATGTCTATATCATTTTTCTCAAAAATTGTTTCTCATCAGACTATATTATTATAGCTCTCCGGCTTTAAACAACTCACCTTTATCTCATATTGTGTCATTGTGCTATTGTTGATAAGTTGTTGATTCCAGACATAAGTTATGGTTTCATTCGCAAGCTTGTTAAAGTCGACCGGTTGTAAAAATATGGCACATATCTGTGCCGCCATCAATAGGAACATGATAATAGTATACTGAAAGTAATCAGTTATATTTTTATAGTCACATTTTAGAATATTATTGCCGTAAATAATTGCATACTTACACACCAAGTCATTCGGTCAGACTGACGAACTGCACCCCAGCACCCAAATATTGTAGTTAGGAATAGCAGCGACCCAACAGTGATACCTATAATGCAAGGCACTTTTATGGCATTACTATCATTCCAAGCTACAATAGCATATGCATTCGCTGAGAGCATCATGGCACCGAACATCTAACGGAGTAAGTTAAAAAATAATTATTAATTAGAAGGGATTTCTGAAACAATAACTATAACATATTTTGATGATTAAAGTATTATATCCTGAAATTATACGATTTTTGCAGTTAGTACTATAGAATCAAGTTACGATTAAAGAAGTTCAAATCTTTACCAACTATAAGATCACTTTGTTGATAACTATTTTACGTCACTAAATAAGTTTGGTTATTGTGTGGGACTGCTAGGTTATATATCATACCTTACATATGCATATTTCACTGATTGTTAATATGGGTTCTTAAGGTATGGATAAGTGTTTGAGGAATGGATTGTAAATCTGGCTTTCCATTTAAGCTACAGAGTACGGTTTAACAAGCTGATTCTGAAAGTTGAGGTATTATTAGGATTGCCAATAGCCTAAATTTATTTAGCTTAATTTAACAGATTGTGTTCAGAAAGTGATTCCTACTACTATCTTTTGCAACAAAAATAATACTAAAAGCCTGGATTAGCACAATAGATCTTATACGTTGTAGTGTATCATTGTACCTTCCAATATAAGTATTTCTGAAAGTTAGCAAAGAGGTGATAAAGAGAAGAAAGTATGAGAAAGTAAAAATATCTTTAAGATGCTAGTTACGGTAGTTATTGTGTTGGAACTTAAGATGTAAAATAAGTTCTGACTTTAATTCACACTATACTTTTTGAGGATTTGTAGAAAATGAAAAAAAAACGATATTTATTGAGATATTTCATTTGAAGTTTCATAGCAAGTTGGCACAGTAACAGAAATAACGAAATATAAATTTAATGCTAAAGTATCGCTGTGTACCTGCATTGCAGTAAGAGACCTAATTTGAATTCTTTATCGATTTCGAGGTATCGATTTCGAGGTATCGATGGCGAGTGATATAAATTTTGACGCTTTTGATAGTTCATTGAATAGTCATTCATGCCAAAAAATTCGTTCTCTCGAAAGTTAGAAAAACATTTCAACACTTCTTAAATAACGAGGTCTGGTAAATGATGACATTTTACTACGGGAGCCTCTGAATTAATGACCATGGGTAGCGAGGATAGCACCTCAAAGATGAATATTTCATAAAAATACTCTTAAAAACATAGAATCTCATATTCGATTGTGTAGTAGCAAAATGCCGGCTATGCGCTACTTGGACGAATGAGGAAGCCGCCTCCAAAACCAATTAACTCATATAAACATTAATATAACTATAATGTCGAAATATTCAAAGAATATTAAATGTTCTTATCAAAAAAATAATATGTTAATTAACTTATATCTTTGTCAGGTATATAATATAAATACATAATGATTAATGAAGGGCTTAGAATTAATCTTTTACTAGGTGACGAGTCGTTCTCACTGCAATTTGTTAATGCATATAACGCTCTCATATCGGCTCGAAATCAATGTGACACATTGTTAAGTAGCACTTGTTTTATTACGGCATTATTTATTTATATACATATATAATTTGAATTATATTTACTAAAATTAATTAAATTGCACAAAATTTTTATCAGCTCGACATTTCAATAATTTTTATGAAATTATCTCACGAGGCACTTACACAGCAGAGAATATTCAAAATAAATGAAATGAACTTCAGCGTGTACGTAGAGCAAACCATTTTGGCTTAGCAAACTTTTTAGTAATTAATTTAATTATTTAATTAATAATAATTAATGTGAGCAATTTTTTGTATTATAAAATATTGATTATTTCGAAGTTTTTCGAAGTTTTACGTAATTATTTTTCATTAGATACGCGTTCGAAATAGTGAAGCCACAACCGAAAGTTGGTAACTGATTGTTGTCATTTGCGCCCTAATGTTAGACAGTCCCGCCTAGCTTAAGTCAAATTCTGTGGGTTATCATATCGCACTGATAAGGCTACTACTCAGCGAGGTCTTAGCGCTCATTAATTATTGTGGCAACATATGTAAACAAAGCGCTATGCGAATCAGTGTACTTCTGAATGTTCTATTATTAACAAACAAAAAGAGAAAAATATTTGTTTAATCAAAATAAACATAAAACACAACCAAAAAATAAAAAAAAAATGCCGAAAAGGTGAACTGTTTCCATATGAACATTGTTTTGATTATTTGAAGAAGATGAAATTTGGATATTTGCAAAAAATTTTGATAACATTTCTAGAGATTTGTCTAGAGTCACATTTGAGTGGCGCTAATAAATTATTATTATGAGAGGTTCTCAATATCAATAATAATGAGTCAAAATATTTAAGTACTTATGATAGAAGTTTTCAACAATGTCGTTAACTTGATTTCTGATTTCCAAAAGTTTGAGATGGAAAGCTATTTATGGAGAAATATATAGACATACGAGCAGACAGGTGCTTATACTTATAAGTTGTGACTGATATATATTTTCAGGTCACATTTCCATTGTTTTCTTCAAAATATATGATAAGTTAGTGAAGCAAAGTTTTTAGGAATCCATAGTGGTGCAGTGTTTTAAGGAACATGAATAATCCATATTTTTCGTTGCTATTACTATGTTCAATTCAATTCAATTTAATTTGACAAGAAAATATGGCAATATCAGTTCAGCTACGGATATAAGCTAAGGTCTAAAAGAGTCTTATCATTTAGTAATTATGGGGTTCAGCACACAGAAATAGTCTTTCATTTCATTAAGAATTTACTAGAAGAAATGTTTAATAAGCACTTTAATAAGCACTTGGCCATGCCTTATAATTTAAGATATAAGCATAGACTCCTAGTTTCATCACTAAGCCAATGTGGTGTTCAGCACACGGAAATAGTCTGTAATTTCATACAGAATTTATAATAAATTAAGCCCAATAAGCAGTTCATGCAATATTATATCGACCCATATCTCTAAACGATAATCGCCTAGTTGTTGTTATATACTTGTAATTTATTATATTGAAAAGTAACCGGAGTTTTTTTGCAATATATCTGGCAACACTATTCCAATTATTTGCAAACAAACAAAAGTTTGAAACGTGATACTTTCGAACATATTTTCTATAAAAATAGAATAGTAATACTTCCTCGCTCGTATAAAAAGTTATATTGTTCTTGAAACGAGTAAAATTTTAGTAATATCACTTAAAATTTGTAATATATCACTTCATCAGACTAAGCAATAATTGACCTCAGGTCTGCATACCTTCCCGAGGTGCCTGTTCTCCCATTCTGAGATTTGATAACGCGGTGTCGGTAAGTCTGTCAGTTTTCGCAAACAATTTCAGGGCTTTATCTTTTATGTATTTTTTGATGGGATCAATCTTGAGGTCCCAGAGGATGTCATTCGTTCTAATATACATGGTACGAACATTGTAATATGATTAAATTATTATGTTAGTTATTTAATAGTTATATATGTTGTAAATAATATATATATATATATATTAAAACGGAGTAGGTTTTTTTTTTAATTGAAAGACAAAAAAAAGAAATTTCTTACCTTTCGTAATTTAAGTTACTGCTTTCCTATTATTTCTTTTTTTTTATTTATTATGCTGTATTATAATGTATTCTAACATTATCGGACTGTTTGGGGTATTACCGTTTAAAATGAGAACTAAAAAGCGCACTCAATTTATTCGTAAAAATGAGGTACTACAAATGTTTAAGAACTTCTCTGATGGTAATAAATATAATTTTTGCGGTAAGTTAGATTTGGCTGTACTCATAAGACTATTTCACAGTAAGAATATAGCTATATCTTCTGCTAACAAATCAAACCATATTAATTGCATTCATTAATTCTAAGTAGTTCACTTATAAAAATGACTTATATTTTTCATGGGTCCAGTAATTTAAGACTGAATATATGTTTGTCAATTATGGAAATTTATTCGCAAAGTCAGTGCTAAAAAAAAAAATGCATT